TATTAGTAGTGCATGTCCTACGCATCCTTATACCAGCGACGAAAAACCACATCTCCTCCCGTATCCCCTACTCACAAACCTCACAGTAATCACAATAACAATAACAACAAACAACAAGAAGAAGAGGAATGCGAAGATCCACACAACTCCCTAGAGTTACAATGGCCATCAGTTGTTGTTAATACTATTACTAATACTAATACTAATACTAATACTAAACGAGAGAAAGAGAAGGAACTCTCACATACAAATATCTCTGATTCTACAACAACAACAAGAACAACAAGAAGAAGAAGGAGAGTATCTGGTTTAAATACGCCGCCCCCTCTCTCATCAACATCATCATCATCCCCTTCACTGATAAAAGTATCAAGTAAGGAAATAACCGCCAAATTGATGAATATCATGCAAGCTCGAGAAAAGATTGAGAATCTTATTCATCTACAAAAGGATGATGAAGAGTCTCTCATTTCTTTAATACGATCACTTCTCATCCGTGAGGAGGACGATGATACCAATGGTGAGAAGACTCAAACAGTATTACAAAATGCCATTTTAGATCGTAATAAAGCCTTACAATTGTTAAATACAATGCGATTGGAGGGAAATGCCATTATTCACCGAATGCATCAAAATATGATTCAACAACAACAACAAATTGAATCTCTTATGCAGGAAAATATAAGATTGCGTAATAGTCTTAGTGAGGCACTGGCTTTAATAACAGATATTAGTTCTCATAATAATAATAATAATAATAATAATAATAATAATAAAAATAAGATAAATGATAGTGGTAACTTGGATGAAACGGGTACTATACCGATAGCCGTTGAATCTGCAGTGGTAGAGGAGAACCCTGTTCCTCCATTCTCACAGTTGTTCCTTTCAGTTTCATCAGAGAAGAGTAATAATAATAATAATAATAATAATAATAATAATAATAATAATAGTATGAATGTGAGCTCTGTTAGTAGTAATGGTAACAGGAGTAATGGAGGGGAAATAGCTGCGGAGACGGTTACCTCAAGCCTGCGATTACGGCAAATGATATCTACACTTCAGACAGCACTGCGTTGTGAAAAACAACAACGTTTAGAGGCGGAGGAACTCTCACATAAAATGGCATTAGAACATCAACGTAATGTTTCTTTAATGGAAGTGCGATTACAACGTATTCAAAGGAGTACGAGTAGTGGTCCCACACGGAAGTACACATCTTTTCAACAACAACTACAGCAACAACAACAACTACAACAGAAAGAAGAAAAAGAGGAACTTGGGTTTAAAGAGGAAGTTCACTCAGCTAAGGATGAGCTTAGTACTCTTTTGGCATCCCTCGCAGAATCTACAATGACGAAATAAGATTAATAAAAAAATGGCTAAGAAAGAGAAAAAGAATAACGGGATGAAATGGAGATCTATTTATATATTTTGAAAAGAGGGTGGATTAATGTTATCTCCTCAAAGTTTAAGAAATAAAAATTCAAAAGGAAATAAAGATAAGAAATTTAAGCGACATGACGCGAACTATCGTTATTACGTACGTATATATATATTTATATATAAAGAGTGAGTGAGAGAGAGAGAGAGAGAGGTGGGTAGAAGAACGTTTCTTGTATATATTCCTTTTTCATTTGTTTGTCATATTAACCATAATACTTTGTATTTGCTTATGTATTGGTGTTTTCTCCTGTATTTGGATGTATACTCTCTGTGTGTGTGTGTCTGTTTTCATCAAATATTTCTTTCAGTTTTTTTCATTTATTTTATTTTTTTTATTCATTACATACTTTCTAAATCTGTTAGGACGGAAATAACTATAGATAGAAAAAGAAAAGGAAAAAAAAAAAGGAGTAGCTGCTGTTTCTAGTAGTAGTAGAGATTGTTGTTTGTTAACTTGTATATATATATATATATATATATATATATATATATATATATATGCAGAGTAGTACTATTATACTAGATGCTGGTTCAGGCACTGTAAAGGTAGGGAGTAGTACCTCCACTCTCCCCGTAGTCCTTCCCTCACTGGCTGGACGTGCCAAGTATAAACCACTTTTTCAATTATCTCCACAATCATCCTTAACCACAACTTCATCAAATGATGGGATGGGAATAACTGCTGTTGGGATTGAGGCTGCGGAGCGTCGTGGTCTTTTACATCTTTCCTATCCCATTCAACATGGCAATATTGTAGACTGGGATGCTTGGCAATTGTTATTAACACAAGCAGGAGAACAGTTAAGTACATCCCTTAATGAAAAGAATTTCTTTTGGATTGAACATCCATTTAGTTCTAGACCACAACGGGCACGAGTGGCTCAAATACTTTTTGAAGAAGAAAATATTTCAGGAATGTGTGTAGGTATAGCCCCATTACTCTCTCTTTATGCAACTGGAAATACAACAGGAATAGTATTAGATATAGGAGAAGGTGTTTCTTCTGTTGCGGCTGCAGTGCAGGGATATGCCGTAACGGAAATGATGCAGCGAGTAGACTTTGGTGGAGGTGCGGTAACTCAATATCTTCAACGTTTAATGCGGGAGTATGGTAGTTACTATAATGTACTTAATAGTAATAGTGGTAATAATAGTAATAGTGGTAATAATAGTAATAATAGTAAACATTATCATGATAAGGTGGTACGTAGTTTTAATCCATCCCGCTGTGGATCGGAACGTGAACTTGTACGTACAATTAAAGAGCATTGTTGTGAAGTTAGTCCTACACCATTATTACCATCTCCTGTCAGTGTGGTGGGCTTTGGTGGGAATCCTACCACTTACACAGAGGAGGATAATAATAATAATAATAATAATAATAATAATAATAATAATAATAATAATAATAATAAAGCAATAAAGGAGAAGGATGATGCCGCTTTACTTGGACTAGTAGATGCAGTTTCTAATACTCACATGAATACAAACACGACACGACATCGTCTACCGGATGGGACAGAACTCACACTTGGATGTGAATTACAACAAGCAGCGGAAGTTTTATTTACACCCGCTCTTATTGGCCATGAACACGCCGGTGTGGCTGATCTCGTCGCGGATGCGGTGCGGATAGCCGATGTTGAATTACGTGCCGAGTTGTGTAGATGTGTTTATTTAACTGGTGGGGCTACTTTATTAGGCGGTTTTGGTCAACGTTTTCTTGCGGAACTCCTGCGCCGCACACCGCGTGGGTGTACTGTTCGTGTGGCCGCGGCTGCAGCGGAGGAGCGGCGATTTGCGGCGTGGATGGGTGCGGCGTGTGTCTCGCAGTTATCTCTATTTGAATCTGAGATGATCGTGCGACGGGCGGAATATATGGAGGAAGGGGAAAGAGTACTGCACAGCCGTATTGTGGGATGAAGAGGCAAAATAAATAGAGAGAGAGAGAGAGAGAGAGAGAGAAAGGAAGAGGAGGAAAGAGTATATATATATATATATATATATATATATATATATATATATATATATATTATCAACTCTTATAATGGTGTGGAAAGAGGGGTTATGGTTGCTGTTTTTTTGAGTTATTTTTGTTACTGTTTCTATTTCTCTCTGATTGTCAGTGTTTTCCTTCTATGTGAGTGTAGAGAATTTGTAAGTGTACTGCATAATATCCTATTTACTTTCTGGTTTTTTTTTTTTCTTGTTTCTATCCCATTCTTGTGTAAACAAACTACGTGGTGTTATTTACTACTATTACCAGTAACAGTAACTGTATAGATTTGGTTGGAAGTGAAAGAAGTCTATATATATATATATATATATATATATATCTGTTACCTTGAGAAGATTGTTGAATATCACAAACAAAAAAAAAGCCATTTGAAATAACGTTAAAGGAGTGGGTGGGAGGAAAAAAAATGGCAAATAAAAAACTTCGTGAAGTTGTACGCATCATGCAAGAAGAGAATGAACGTGATCGTGAATTGGTATTGGCATTATGCCGTGCAGAACACCAAAAACTACTGGAGAAGCAACTTGCCGCACTTGTACATCTCAAAGAACAACAACAACACTATCGTGCTTCATATACGGCAAGTATGAAATCCGTATCTTCTCATACACGGCAGATACCAGGACAAGTAAAGAGAAGTAATAGTTTTTCTGGTGGTGGTACTAGTAGCATTGTGAATAAAACTCCATGTGTACAACGAATGAATAACTCACATAAAGAAACATTAACAGAAGCAGAAGCAGAAGCATCAGTACCAGTTCCAACTAAAACTACTAGAATGAATGGTGTTATTCCCTCTTATATAGATCAGATGAGTTCCATACGCAAGGGAGATCCCACTAATGATAATATGGCCTACGGATCCTCCTCCTCATCAGGTGTATACTTAGATCCATGGAAAATACAAGTGACAGGGGAACAATTAGAAAGTTGGCAAAATGTTGATTCCGCAACCACAACAACCACAGCAACCATTACACAGAAAGTTAACCCGATATTATCACAACTATTACCAGAATGGCAAAGGGATGTTGTCACCATGACGGATGAAGAAGTGGCAAAGGCTAATCTTGTAGATAAGATCCATCGTTTGTATGGTGACTCCACAGCCGTTCAAGGCACTTTAACTCCCATTCTCCAACAACAACAACATCGACAACAACAATTACATAGGAGACCTTCATCTACAGTTATGGACCCTGTGGCTCCAGAGCGTAGTTCTCACTTTCTCTCATCTGTAGTAAAAGCTGGTGGAACAGCAACAGCAACAAGAACAACAACAACAACAGCATCATCAGTAGGAGGAGGAGGAGGAGTAGTGGGAACAGGGCGAAGTGTCATGTCAAAGGAAGAGGTAATGTCTGAACTGCGTCGATTATATGGTCTTGAGGATTCTGAAAATGGAGGAAATATAGATGATTGAGTTGTTTTTTTTTTTATTGTTGTTGTGGGTTTTGTATCTCATTCTAAACTATTATTATTTTTCTAATTCTGTATATATACATATATACATATTCTAGGTCTCTCTCTCTCTCTCTCTCATCATTGCGTCACCCACTATCACTGTATTTACTCTGTATTATCTGTGTGCAAATCCTCTTTTCTTTGCCGCTGCTGCTGTGGCTTTTTTACTTTTACTCCTACCATTTATTATATATATACATTTAATCCTTTTTTTTTTCTTTTCTTTTCTTTTGTTTATTCTTCTTGTACACATTGTATTTAAAAAGGTGTATAAATAGGAAGTGCAAAAAAAAAAAAAAGAAAAGAAAAAAAAAATAGTATTTTGCTTACTCTTTTATTCCCCCCTCCCCATTGTTTTGGGTTCTCTGAGATAATACAACGTGCAGACCTTAAAGGGAAATTAACAGGAAACGTTGAAAAGGGTGTAGTGGCCTCTTATTTTCTTTTTCATTTGGCATGTCTAAAGAAGCAGGAGATCAAGAAGTGGCTACACTCTCACCCCATATACTCAGTAACGGTAATGGTGATAAGTGTAGTAATGATTTTATGCGTAGTTTAACTGAGTACGAGAACCAGAAAAAAAACGTTATCAGTGAAAAATTCCATAACGGCGAATATGGCAGTAGTACAAATCTCTTTATCAAACAAAATAACAGTACTCATATAGAAAATATTAATTATGATCAAGAAACGTTTGCTCAGTTCCCCCCTAGGACATCTGCAGTGAATGCTGTAGTTGAGGCACATGAGAATATGATGGCCACAACAGTTGGTACATCTAATACTACTACTACTACTACTACTACTACTACTACTACAGGGCAAAGTATTACATTTGAATCTTTATTTGCAGAACAAATGCAATCACTCACTGCAACAAGTGTTAACAATTTCTTACATCCCATGCAGGAGTCTACGATGAACTCCACCCTTCCACTACACCTTGGTGAGGATACTCTCACCTCTACTCTTACTACTACAGACTGTACCGTACTTTTGGCACGATTGGATTCAAGTGCAGCTCAATTACTAGTACAAACCGTACCACAACTTGCTACTACAGGAACAACAACGGCATCAGATTTCTTTTCACTTAGTGGAACGGATACATTTGGTAAATTGACAGAAACTCGAAGTACAGTACAAACAAACTCACCTACTATTATTAGTAATCAATCTTTTACTAATAGTAGACGAAGTAATATGAATACTAATGACAATGCTGATAGCAGTAGTGGTATAATGCCAGGACACTTACAGCCTGATAATACGTATACCACTTTGACACCAGCAAGACCTGTTAATTCCAGTGATATTTTAGGATTTGCTCGTATAGCACGTGGTGATGAAAACCCGATCATACCTCTCACCCACGATAGTAACTGCAGTACACCATTACGGTTATGTGGCCTCTCTCTTGAAAGGTGTTCTCCGCCTCCTTTGAGTCCCCCAGGTGAAGTGGACGCAGAAACGGCGGAAATTATAACTGCATTTAAAGCAGATGCGCACAATGATCCTTTGCTCTTTAGTTATGCAATGCAGGAAACCTCTGTGGGGTTCAGTGAAACATTTGGTACTAGGACAGAGACAGTGTGTTCCATCGCTTCCCATAGCTCCACTGGCCAAGTATTAGACTTTACAGAGCGCACACACCAATTGGGTTATCCGGCATATGTAAAGAATAACGATGATGAACCGCTACATAATGAACTAGAATCCACAATCGCTCCCCGTACAACAATGGGAGAAGAAACAGTGACAACTGTTGCCGAAGATGACATATGTGAACTAGAACAAGGGAGGGGGAATCACAGCAATAACAACAAGAACAGGAATCATAAACAAGCTTCAGAAGTACTGGTGAAACCATATCCCCTTAAATCAACTTCATTATTGAAATCCGCTGTTAATTCTGACAGAATACATTTCATGTCAATTGTCAGCGCAATAAGTGGGGCTAACTATGAGTCTCCTATTACAGGTACACCTGAGAAGCAATCCCCTTCAAAAAGCCCAACACCCCTATTAGGAAATCCTATCACTCTGGAGGACAACAATGCCCTTTCTCTCACTAGCAATGTTGCGCCAGGATCCCTTGTGTCTGACTCGGTACCAAGACTATCACACACTGCCACGCTCAATGCTGCAGATTTACCTTTATTGAGTCCCTCTAGAACGTATAGTAGTGGTAGTGGTGGTGGTCCTAATGACGCGACAGCAATCAATAGCCCTCTACAAATCCCCCACGTCAACAGAAACAACGACGACTATGGTAGTACTAACAACTACATTGAAGATAACAGGACCCTCCTTAAACCAGAAGAAGGAAATGAAACACAGGATGAGGGTTCAGGTAATCACAATGAAGGTTCAGGTGACCACAATGAGAGTTCAGGTAACCACAATGAGGGTTCAGGTAATCACAATGAGGGTTCAGGTAACCACAATGAAGGCTCAGGTAATAACAATGAGGGTTCAGGTAACCACAATGAGGGTTCAGGTAATAACAATGAGGGTTCAGGTAACCACAATGAAGGTTCAGGTAATAACAATGAGGGTTCAGGTAACCACAATGGGGGTTCGGGTAATAACAATGAGGGTTCAGGTAACCACAATGAAGGCTCAGGTAACCACAATGGGGGTTCAGGTGATCACAGTGAGAGTTCAGATGATCACAATGAGGGTTCAGGTGATCACAATGAGGGTTCCAGTAACCACAATGAAGAAGATGACGGTGATTTCGGGGAATTTGTGGAGGCGTCACCATCTCAAACATCGTTAGAAAAAGTTCCTGTTGATGCTACTGCCCCTCCAATGCTCTTTCACTCTTCCTCAGGGCACCAAGATGAATTGCATCTCCTGCATAAGAATGAAGGGTCCGGTGATCACAATGAGGGTTTAGATGATCACAATGATGGTTTAGATGATCACAATGAGGGTTCCAGTAACCACAATGAAGAAGATGATGATTTCGGGGAATTTGTGGAGGCGTCACCATCTCAAACATCGTTAGAAAAGGTTCCTATTGATGCTACTGCCCCTCCAATGTCCTTTCACTCTTCCTCAGAGCACCAAGATGAATTGCATCTCCTGCATAAGAATGAAGGTGAAGGAAACCCGGGAACAGCTGTGAATTCCACAGTTGCAGATTCAGCCGCTAAGGAAAACGTTTTCGGGGTACGGCAAAAAACGGTGCATTTCGATGAGAATGAACCCGTTATAATTGAACCTCTTCCAGATGAAGTCGTGAATGCATATCCCGAGGAATACATAGTCGCAGAGGTGAATAAAGGTACCGATGAGGGCAACGAAGAAGAAGAAGAAGACGATGAAGAAGAATGGGCTGCATTTACAGAGGCCTCCCCTTCTCCCTCTGTGCCATCAAGAGTGGTGACATCCACTGAACATAAATTAACAGAGAATAGCCGGCCCGTACCGATGGTCTCTCAAGCAAGGGATGATAATGATTTCTTTATCGTTGATAGTGACATAGACAGGGCATTGCTTCGACAGCGCCTTTCTGAACTCGCTGGGTGTGTGATGGAATCTGATTATGGCAATACAGTTAGCGTCAACACGGAGGATGAATATGATGAATGTAACAACAATTTTAGGGAGAACAATGTGCAACTGGCTCATTCACGAAGTGAACTTCTAATTAGTACTATGGAGGCTATGTCCTTTACACGGCGAGCTCAGTATGGAGCTTCTGAAGATGAATTCCTTGGCATTGGAAGCTCATTTGTGGCCAGTGATAGCTTTTCTGCCTCCTGTAATATCTTTGGCACGTATTCAACGGTTACAGATGTGGGTGAGACAAGAGATCCCAACCAACAACAAAACGTAACCCCCGTTACTGTGGACCCTGTTGCAGCACTTCAAATAGCTGACCGCCGCTCCTTACGTTCTCGCGAAAACCTTGACTCCCTTCTACTAAACAGCTCCCAGGAACGACATCCTATTCCTGTGGAAGAAGTTATTGCAAGAGTGAGATCCATTGTTGAAGACCAGGTATTGCAGTCTGAGAATGGTAATAACTCCACTTATCACATCCATCCTACTCTGCAGCCCCCACAAATTGGGGGCAGCGTATACCCCGCACCGTCCTTGCAGCTACCGATTTAAACCACAAATACACAAACTATTTTCTGGAACGTTTACACAAATAAACCGGTATATATATTTATATATCTTTTTTGCGCGTGTGTTCTATTTCTGTTCCTGGAACCTAAACAACAAACAAAAACACATCGCTACGGGTATCACGCCCACCGAATGTGGGGATGGTGCTCTTTCGTTCCCCTCCTTCCTTTCTTGGCTTTTACTTTATTTATTCAAAGGGAGACTTCCATCCTGCAAACCAAGGAAATAAAAACTGTATCCACGGTATACATATCCTACTCTCTGTGGGTGTATTCACTTCACTGTTATTCTTTTCCCTCTCTCCTTCTTCTTTCTTTTTCTTTCTCTCCTCATCACATTGGTATTGTTTGTTAACGCATGGCAATATCAGAAAAACCGAAAAAAGCACGCATTCACACGTAAAAGATAATTAAGATGGCATCGACAAGCTTCTGGGAAAATGTACCTTCGGTCCCACCAGATGCGATCTTCGCTCTATTTGTGGAGGCCTCAAAAGCACCTGAACCAAAGGCGGATCTTATCATTGGCGCATACCGTGATGCTGATGGACGCCCCTATCCACTTAAGGTGGTTGAGAAGGCAGAGCACCTTCTTGTGACGGAAATTTGCCCAAACAAAGAGTATCTGCCAATGTCGGGGCTTGCTCCATTCATTGAGGGAGCGCTGAAGCTCGCCTACGGTGATTGCGTGCCGCGTTCCCGCATTGTGGCAGTTCAGGGGTTGAGTGGAACTGGTTCACTGAGCTTGGGTGCACGCTTGATTGCCAGAGTCCTCTCGCGTGAAACACCAGTGTACATCTCTGACCCAACATGGCCTAACCATTACGCTGTGATGAATGTTGCCGGACTGTCCAACACCCGCAAGTACCGCTACTACAACCCCGCAACACGCAGTCTTGACTTTGAAGGCCTCATCGCTGATATCAGCAATGCTCCTGAGCGCAGTGTGATCCTTCTGCACGCCTGTGCACACAACCCCACGGGTGTGGATCCCACGAAGGAGCAGTGGGCGAAGATTGCAGAGGTGGTCAAGCAGCGCAACCTCATCGCCTTCTTTGACTGTGCATACCAAGGATATGCTACAGGAAGTCTTGACAACGATGCGTACGCCATCAGGCTGTTTGTGCGCGAGGGCTTGGAGATTATGCTCGCACAGTCCTTCTCGAAGAATATGGGTCTCTACTCGGAGCGTGTGGGCGTGTGCTCTCTTGTTTTGGCAAAGGAAGAGAAGGCACCAGCACTGAAGGCGCAGCTGGAGAGTATTGCCCGTGCCATGTACTCCACACCGCCGGCTCACGGGGCACGTTTGGCCAATCTTGTTATGAGCAACCCAGAGCTCCGCCGTGAGTGGGAGGAGGAACTGCAATTAATGGCAAACCGTGTGCAAGAAATGCGTCAGGCTGTCTTTGATGGTCTTAAGAAGCGTGGCACACCCGGTACATGGGATCACGTTATTTCGCAGCTTGGTATGTTCTCTTACCTTGGTCTCACAAGGGCACAGTGTGAGAAGTTGATTGAAAAGCGAGTGTTTGTTCTGCCCTCTGGTCGTGCAAACATGGCTGGTTTGACAACGAAGACAGTGGAACTTCTCGTTGGCGCCATTGATGAAGTGGTACGAGCAGAACCATCTCAGTGAGACTGCAACACGAGTAATGGCACTTGCATAGAGTTGTCATGTGGTTTAATGAGGATATGAATAGATGATAATGATATTGTTGTTGTTTGGATTTTTTTTTCCTGCGCGAAGCCGTAAGAAATAGTTTTTTTTCATTTATAATGTACGGGTGAGTTGACTACAAGTTTGGTCTGTCTGTAATAGGAGACCGATTCATAGAATATTTTACGTTCGTGTTTTTTTACGTGAATATGTAATTTCATTTTTCTTCTTGTAGAGGCAAACATGATGAAATGTACTCTCTCGCCTAATCTGATGTTACCTTTTTTTTTCACATTGGTGCCTGTGGTAGGGCAGACTTCTTTCACTTTTGTTTCCTGGAAATGGAGAGAGAGATACAGAACCGTTGCATTAATGTAAATCTCGTGTAGATAGGATTTGTGAATCGCGGAACTTTAGTAGTCTCTAATGAACGTCGTATTGATTCCCAAACTTGTATTTGCTTCTATGACTCCTACTATGTTCTTGTTTTTTGTTGTTTTTTTTTTTTTTTTTTGCACTTCTGGTTGAGAAATTAAAGCTTTTTTTTTTTAATTTCCATGCTTGTATTGAAGAATGTGAAATTGGTTCTCATGCGACATTCTCTACTATGCTTCTAAAAAGAAAAAGGTTAAACGGTAGGCTTATTACACATCCCAAGGGATGTGTTTCTTTTTTGTTTGTTTTTTTTCTTTATCAATTAAATCCCTTCCTTCCATATGGTACGAAGAGAGACCAAGGGAACTGTATGAGGGTTCCTCCTCGCAAATACGTTTTTAGGGATATTGAGAGTCAAACCGTCAACAAAAGAGTTAAGATTACCTAATATTTGTTCAGGCGCCTCTCAGGATTTGCATCCTGCTTTTTTTTTTTTTTTTACTTACTTCTTGTTTCCTACGTTAATTATATACAAAAGAAATACAAAAAAAAAAATGTTTTCTTTCTTTTTGCAAGACAATCATAAATTATAAAAGAGGCATCTCTTTAGAAAGAACGCCTTCTATTTCTCATATTTTTACCCCTTCTTACAAACATACAAGGAAACCTCATTTCAATTAGGGGTCTCTACTCTGACTTTCTCTCTCGCTCTCTCTACTCCTGGGTGGCTAAATGGATGTCCATTAAATATCCTCGCATTTTCCCTCTCTCCTTCTTCTTTCTTTTTCTTTCTCTCCTCATCACATTGGTATTGTTTGTTAACGCATGGCAATATCAGAAAAACCGAAAAAAGCACGCATTCACACGTAAAAGATAATTAAGATGGCATCGACAAGCTTCTGGGAAAATGTACCTTCGGTCCCACCAGATGCGATCTTCGCTCTATCATTGGAAGCCAAGAAAGCGCCTGAACCAAAGGCGGATCTTATCGTTGGCGCATACCGTGATGCTGATGGACGCCCCTATCCACTTAAGGTGGTTGAGAAGGCAGAGCACCGTCTTGTGACGGAAATTTGCCCAAACAAAGAGTATCTGCCAATGAAGGGATTCGCTCCATTCATTGAGGAAGCGCTGAAGCTCGCCTACGGTGATTGCGTGCCGCGTTCCCGCATTGCAGCTGCACAGGGGTTGAGTGGAACTGGTTCACTGAGCATGGGCGCACACCTTATTGCAAAGGTTCTCTCGCGTGAAACACCAGTGTACATCTCTGACCCAACATGGCCTAACCATTACGCTGTGATGGAAGCTGCCGGACTGTCCAACACCCGCAAGTACCGCTACTACAACCCCGCAACACGCAGTCTTGACTTTGAAGGCCTCATCGCTGATATCAGCAATGCTCCTGAGCGCAGTGTGATCATTCTGCACGCCTGTGCACACAACCCCACGGGTGTGGATCCCACGAAGGAGCAGTGGGCGAAGATTGCAGAGGTGGTCAAGCAGCGCAACCTCATCGCCTTCTTTGACTGTGCATACCAAGGATACGCTACAGGAAGTCTTGACAACGATGCGTACGCCATCAGGCTGTTTGTGCGCGAGGGCTTGGAGATTATGCTCGCACAGTCCTTCTCGAAGAATATGGGTCTCTACTCGGAGCGTGTGGGCGTGTGCTCTCTTGTTTTGGCAAAGGAAGAGAAGGCACCAGCACTGGAGGCGCAGCTGGAGAGTATTGCCCGTGCCATGTACTCCACACCGCCGGCTCACGGGGCACGTCTGGCCCATCTTGTTATGAGCAACCCAGAGCTCCGCCGTGAGTGGGAGGAGGAACTGCAATTAATGGCAAACCGTGTGCAAGAAATGCGTCAGGCTGTCTTTGATGGTCTTAAGAAGCGTGGTACACCCGGTACATGGGATCACGTTATTTCGCAGCTTGGTATGTTCTCTTACCTTGGTCTCACAAGGGCACAGTGTGAGAAGTTGATTGAAAAGCGAGTGTTTGTTCTGCCCTCTGGTCGTGCAAACATGGCTGGTTTGACAACGAAGACAGTGGAACTTCTCGTTGACGCCATTGATGAAGTGGTACGAGCAGAACCATCTCAGTGAGACTGCAACACGAGTAATGGCACTTGCATGGGTTTGCATTACGTGTAATGTTGGTAATATCCTTCTCTTATGATTATGGGCTACCTTGATGTTAATATCCCTTCTATAAATCCATGATAAACACACTGTGTTTTGTGCCTGTGTGCGCGTGAAGGAAAGTAGAATAAAGGTACTCTCTTTTCTTCTTTGTAAAGCATTAAGGAAGCAGAAGATCTAATTAAAATGTTCATTTTGGAAAACGAAGAAAAATGATTTAAGAAGAATAAATGGATATGTGAAAGAAGAGTTAACTTTACTCTTACTCTTCATCGGTGACCCTGTTGATGGGAGAAAACTAATTATTATAAATATTATAAATATTCTCCTCGTTTTTTTTGCCTGCGAGCGGTATCAAAGTTTGATGATGTGGTACTCGTGAACAACACCCTAATTTTTAATGTGTTGTTGAAGAAAACAAATTTTTAATTTTTTGATGCGCCATTGTTATCATGAATATTACTATACTATGATTACGATATATAAGAGTTTTTGTTATTCCTGAAAATGTATACTTTGTGTATTCTGGTCTATCATATCCTCGGATATTGGGGGAATCCTCTACGCCTCTTGCTGTTCTTACCCCTTACTCACTGTTTTTCTTCTCTCATATTTTTTGCAATTATTATGTGATTTTTTAGGTATTCAAAAGCGAGGAAAAAAAAAAAAAGAAATAATTCTACTTAAAAAAAAAATTTGTTTTCAAAAGAGCATTACTTCATACGTGCACCCCATAATTAGTGCAAGGTAGCAGATAAAATTAAAAAAGAAAAAAAAGAGAAGAAAAGGAAAGAAAGAAAGAAAAAAAAAAGGGGAGGAAGCAGTATAATAATTGCTCTTTCTTTTTTTTTCCATTTAAAGGTTGTTTTCTTGTTTTGTTTTTGATTGTTTGTTTATTTCTCTATTATTTAAAAAAATGCTCTCAACTAAACGTCTACTGTTCCGCCCGTCTATTACCACCGGTATTAGACGCGGTGAAGCAAATAGTGTCGTGCTTTCTTCAACCTTATGTTTCGCATCCAATAGCACTACGCTCGCATTACGGTGGAATTCAACGACATCTCGTACAAGCCATCCCTCACAAACACTTAACTACCAACAACGTTTTTCTTCTGGTGGTCCTGATGGTCGATCCTCTGCATCTATGGTTATTGTAGATCCTGTACGGGCCGCAAAAGAACGTGATCGTATGGCGAGAGAAATGCTCTCAAGTAATTTACCACGTCCTGCGGAAGAAGAACGGGTTGTGGTAACGTTGAAGGGTCTTGTACACACAGTACCATATACCCTTCGCATCGTTGAGGATGGCGCAAGTCTGGCTAAAGAGTCAGAAGCCAAAGCAAAAGTAATTCTGCAGGAATGTTTTGATATGGTAAACAAGTACCTAAATCACTATAACCCTGAAAGTGAAGTCTCTAAGGTGAATGAACTCCCAATTGGTGAAAAGCATAAAATGTCTGAACATCTTCTACGGGTTATGGAGTGCTCTGTTCGTGTATATACCTCCAGTGGAACATGTTTTGACCCCGCCACTGGACCCCTCGCCAAACGTTTACGTGATTTAATGCTAAAGGAAGATGGGGATGATATAACACTTTCTGAAGAAGAAGTTGAGCGTTTTTCACTCCCACGTAGCTTTGATGTTGATTTAGCTCAAGGTACCATTTCCCGTTTACACGATGAGGCGAAACTCGACCTTGGTGGTCTTAATAAAGGTTATACCGTTGATTGTGTGGTGGAGAAACTTAATGATGCTGGTATAGCCAATGTGTTATTTGAATGGGGAGGTGACTGTCGTGCTTCCGGTGTGAATTATCAACGTCTTCCTTGGGCTATAGCCGTTACACGTCCACCAAGTGTAAATGAGGTACGAGAACGTGCAGAAGCCATTGCTGAAGGAAAGGAAGTAGAGGAATTGAGTGTATTACGTGAGAAGGCTGCACTTCTACGTGTTATGTATCTTGATGATGAAGCGTTATGTACAAGTGGAGATTATGAAAATGTTGTTTTTAACAAGAAACATGGCGTTCGTTGCAGCTTGTTTGATTGGAAAAAGAAAGGATTATTAGAACCTGTAGATGATGAACTCGCTCAAGTTTCTGTAAAGTGTTATAGTGCCATGTACGCGGATGCCCTTGCCACAGCAAGTGTTATTAAACGTGATACTGTAAAGGTACGATATATGTTGGAAACCTGGCGTCATTCCCGAAACCGTGTAACCAATTATGCCGCCTATACACGTGAAGAAGAACGTCTTGCTCACATGTATGAAATTGCACGTGAAACTCCTGAATTACGGCAGGAACGTATTGCTGGTTCATTACCTGCTCGTGTTATTGTTATTGGTGGTGGACTTGCTGGTTTATCAGCTGCAATTGAGGCAGCTAGTTGTGGTGCTCAAGTTATTCTTATGGAAAAAGAGTCTAAACTTGGTGGTAATAGTGCCAAAGCTACATCTGGTATTAATGGTTGGGGTACACGTGCACAGGCTTTAAAAGATATTTATGATAACTGCAAAACCTTTGAACGTGATACATATCTTTCAGGTTTGGGAGGTATGTGTGCACCTGGACTGGTGCGTGCCCTCTCTGTAAAGAGTGGTGATGCCATTGGATGGCTTTCCTCTCTTGGTGTTCCATTGACTGTACTCTCACAACTTGGAGGACACAGCCGTAAACGTACACACCGCGCTCCTGATATGCCGGATGGTACTCCAGTACCCATTGGTTATACTATTATGCAAACACTTGAGCGACACATCCGTAATAATCTTTCTGATCACATTACAATTATGGAGAATACTTCCGTAAAGGCATTGATGCATGAAACTCATGGCACTCCAGACGGTGGACATGAAGTACATGTGACTGGTGTAACCTATGTGAAGTCCAATGGTGAAGAGAAGGAGCAAATGACTTTAACGGCTGATTCTGTCATTCTTGCTACTGGTGGTTTCTCTAACGATCGTGAAGGAAAGTCACTCTTACGTGAGTATGCCCCACATTTATTTGGTACGCCCACAACCAACGGTCCTTGGGCCACTGGTGATGGTGTAAAACTTGCCCGTCGCCTTGGTGCAACTCTTGTGGATATGGACAAGATACAACTACACCCGACTGGTCTTATTGACCCTAAAGATCCGGCAAGCCCAACAAAATACCTTGGCCCAGAGGCACTTCGTGGATCTGGTGGTATTCTGTTAAACAATAAGGGTGAACGTTTTGTAAATGAGCTCGATCTCCGCTCTGTTGTATCAAAGGCTATCAATATGCAGGATAATGAGTATCCAGAATCTAAAGGCAGTCGTTTTGCTTACTGTATACTTAATGAGGCAGCTGCAGAGTTGTTTGGTAGAAACGCCCTTGGTTATTACTGGAATGTATTGGGTGTATTCAAACGTGTAGAAGATGAACATGAACTGGCAGAATTAATTGGTTGCAGTCAGGAGACTCTGCATCAAACTCTGGTAACTTATGAGGCTACCAGTAGGAATGGGTCGAGATGTCTAAAGACAGGAAAATCTGTATTCCCATGTGTTCTCGGTCCACAAGGTCCTTTCTATGTTGCCTTTGTTACCCCATCTATTCACTACACTATGGGTGGATGCCTTATTTCGGCAGCGGCAGAAATACTGCAGGAGCATCATTCAATGAACATTCTTGAAGATCAACGTCCAATTCGTGGATTGTTTGGAGCAGGTGAAGTAACAGGAGGTGTTCATGGTGGTAATCGACTTGGTGGTAATTCTCTACTGGAGTGTGTGGTGTTTGGAAAGATTGCGGGTGATCGTGCGGCAACAATTTTGCAAAAGCGGGATTCGGCTCTATCAACAGAAAAGTGGACCTCCGTTGTGGTGCGTGAATCGCGCCGTAGTGAACAGTTTGGTGCTGGTTCTCGTGTATTACGTTTTAACCTTCCTGGTGCCTTACAACGTTCTGGTTTAAGTCTTGGTCAATTTATTGCTATCAGAGGTGAATGGGATGGAAGACAACTTATTGGATATTACAGTCCTATTACATTACCAGAGGAACGTGGTACAATTTCTATTCTCGCCCGTGGTGATAAGGGAACATTATGTGAGTGGATTTCTGCCATGCGTCCAGGTGACTCTGTTGAGATTAAAGCCTGTACAGGTCTTCGTATTGATCGTGACCCAAATACAAAACAAATTATCTTTCGAGGACATGTTATTCGACAATTTGGTTTAATTGCGGGTGGTACAGGAGTGGCTCCAATGCTTCAAATTATTCGTGCCGCTTTGGAACGTCCTTTTGTGGAAACTACGGAATCTATTCGACTCATCTACGCCTCTGAAGAGTATGATGAATTGACCTACCGTAGTACTTTACAAGATTATGCTAAATCGAATCCTGATAAGTTTGCCTGTGATTTTGTACTCAACAGTCCTCCTGAGGGATGGACAGGTGGTGTTGGCTTTATAGACCGTCCATCTCTGCAGAAAACACTGCAGCCACCATCTGATGATCTTCTTGTTGCTATTTGTGGTCCACCAGCTATGCAGAGGGCGGTGCGGAATACATTGTTGAATATGGGATATAATCCAGCCCTTGTGCGTACAGTGGATGAGGATATGGAATAGATAATAGTGTGAAGAAGCGATCGTATAGTTTCTTTCTTTGTTCGTGTTTTTTTTTTTTTTTTACTTCTTGGGGGTTATTTCTGCGTGGAAAAAGAAAAAGGAATTCCATTGGTTTTAAATGAGGAAGAAAGAAAGAAAGGAGGAGAAGGAGGGAAAAAAGGTTTCAGACCCTGGTGGTGTGGGACTGAATAAATAAAGAGAAAGAAGGAAAGGAAAGGAAAGGAAAATAATATCATTGTTAGGATATTAGTGTGAAGAAGAATAAGAATAAGAATAAGAAGGATGTCTCTATTGGGGTTTTCAAGCGTCTTGATGTCTGCTTCTACAGAGAAAGGTTAGAAAATAACAGGCCCGCAATCAAAAGGGAAAAAAAAAAATGATGATCTTAAATAAATGTAATGAGGAAACTATTCCTATTGTTTTAACTTATTTTCTATAAACGTCACGCATTTTTTTTTCTTTGTTTTTTTTTGTTTTTAACTCCGTTGCTTTTTTTTTTTATTGTTTTTACTTTTTTTCTTTGTCTCTTTCTTTCACTCGCTTGTTTCTGGTTTTTCATCAAACCAGTAATTTCTTGGTTAACAATAGTGTTTTGCAGGTTTACTGTTTCTTTGTTGTATGCAACTTTGTTTAGATCAGAGAATATATGTGCTCGTGTGTGTGTGAGATAGAGATAGAGAGAGAGAGAGAGAAAAGGGGCACAAAAGAAGAAAATGTAAAAAAAAATCAGTTGTTATTGCTTTCTCTCGTGAGAGAACACATTGTGTGTGCATATCAAACCAATACTCATAATAATAATAATTTTAATTACAATTAGAAACCAAAAGATCGATTGGTTCAAAAGAAAAGTGTATGGGAAAAAGGGGGAGAAAAAAAAAAAAAAAGAAGCAATACATTTTCTCTTACACTATGCGTTTGTGTGCGAGTGTGT